GGGTTAGTAGATGCACAGTGCTTCAGAATAGAAAAATGAATTTACTAGGATGTAAGTGGGATATAAGTACTTACTCCTGGATGACATGATGTTGTGCTGGGGGTACACAAGCCAAAGGAGAATTATGGCTTCTATTTTTGGAATATTTATTTTTTACTTGAGGATTTTAGAAATTATTTTCTTATGGAAACAGTCACACATATAATGGAATTAACTGTAGCATTTTGCATGAATTTTAAAGAAAAACAAGAGTCTTAAAAGATCTTTCAGCCACTTGGGACTTTGGGGGGAAGAATGGGAACTGCATTTTCTTCCTTCTGCTGCGCTCCCTCCTTTATCAGGTTGGTGGAAATGCTTACACTTACCAGACCATATACACTAGTTACATTTACCTCAAAACTGTGAAAGTACCTCCTGTTTTTATGTGCTATGAATGCTGCCCAAGTGTAGAATCTTTGCCATTTAAATGTTCAGATTTTAAACCAGAAATGTGTTGAGGTAAAGAAGAAAATTATTAGAGCATGACCTTAGGGAAATCAAGTCATAAAAAAGAAAGTAGCTGAACTGAATTCTATTTCCCATTCTGTTACTAACCAGCTGGCTTATTAATGTCCATAAAGAGATAGATTTTTGTCCTTTTCACTGATAATCCTCCACACCTTGAATAAATAGATAATGTTGAATGATCTTGGGAAAGACACTTTGTTAAAGTCTCAGTTTCCACAGCCACAAAACAAAGATGTGATCTTAAACTTAAACTTTAGTGTGTATGGAATTAAATAGAGTGTTTGTTTAAAATGCAGGTTCTTTGAGTCTATGCCCAGAAATTCAGATTTGGTAGAACCAGATGCTATTCAGCAATCCACATGGATTTGGGGCTTGGGTTGTAAGGAACAAAAATCCAATTTAAAAAGGAAGGTTTTATTTTTTATTTTGCTTCATTTTTTGTCCCCCTCTCTTCCCCTCCCTGCACATAAATTGGAAAATACAATGCAAGGACTACTTAAGGCATATTTAGATCTAGCTGTTCAAATAATGTCATCAGCCATCTTTTGGTTACACTTTCTTCTCTTTTAACTTTATTCTTAGTCTGGTTTTTCCTTTAAGGAGTTCATTTTTAAGAACTTCCTTCTTAATCTGCCTTTTCTCCTAGCTTCCATTCTTCTAACATGAAACCCCAGCACAAAGAGTATTTCTTTTCCTTAATTTTCCAGCTAAAGAACTACGCCCAACTTGACTGTATTAGTTTATATCAGGTGCCCAAACCTGCACTCATCACCATGGTCAGCACCTGTGATTCACTCCTCAGCAGCCTTGAGTCAAATGCCCACATTGGATTTGGGAGTACAGTCACTCTACTCAAACCATGTGGGCTTGGACGTGAAGGTGGGATGGTTCTCAAAGACAAATTGGAATTAATTTTTTTAGAAATAAGGAAAATGGATGTTTTTTAGCCAAAACTATAGATCTCCTACCACTACTGAGCATTTTTAAGATGTATTTAGAGATGAATGATCCAAAAATGTTACAAAAATATAACCAGTATTCTAAGACATTGAGACATTCAGCCCTCAAGGTGATAAAGCAGGGTCTGAGAAGGACCTAAGATGGTCACAGTCCCAGTGCCAGTTGCCTCACCTATTTACCTCAGTGTTTGGGGCAAATATTAAATATTTTCCACATGTGTTATTGTATTAGTGCGTTTTCACGCTGCTATGAAGAACTACCTGAGAATGGATGATTTATAAAGAACAGAGGTTTAATTGACTCACAGTTCCACATGTCTGGAGAGGCGTCAGGAAACTTAAAATCATGGCAGAAGTTGAAAGGAAAGCAAGACATGTCTTACATGGCAGCACTAGAGAGAGAGAGAGAGAGAGAGCAAGAGAGCGAGCAAACAAGGAACCGTCACACACTTTTAAACCATCAGATATCATCAAATCTTGAGACAGCACTAGGGGGGTGGTGCTAAACCATTAAAATCACCCCCATGATCCAGTCACCTCCCACCATGTCCCACCTTCAACTCGTGGGGATTACAATTTGACATGAGATTTGGGTGGGGACACAGAGCAAAACCATATCAGCTATGAAGGTAATGTATGTGCAAGTGATCTGTGACTTATGCTGTGGGAATCAGTGGATTTTGAGAATCAGTCAAAATCATTATTGTATGTTTGAGGTGACACTTTGAAGTCATCTCAGACATACAATAATATTACTACTCTAGGATCTTCATGAGATAATCTGGAAGTTGGTTGATGCAATTGAAAAGACAAAACCCTAGTACAAAACAAAATGGGACAAAGAAACAAGCAGGACCAGCAATTGAATCTTCCCTTGATTTGGTTATCAGTTTGTGTTTATTTAATAATCTTGGACAAATGTATTCACCTAACGAATACAGCCCCAGCCTGGATCCCAGCACGCCTCGTTCCCATTAATGTTTGAAACATAAATGGATACACACTATACGGATAATGAAAAGGGGTAAGCAGGCAACAGTATGGAACAAAAAAATGAGTTGACTTAGTTATCAGGTAAGTCTTAGGTGTATTACATGTGAGTTCATGGAAGCAAATTCTGGTGAATGAATAACCCCCATTTTTATTGAGTGAAGAAGCTGCTATCATTTCCTTAAGCTCATTAATACAATTAATAAAAATAAAATGTCTACCTCTTCATTTTAGTATTAAGTCATTAGTTCAGTTTCAGATGGCTTTTCCATACCCTCGCCCCACTGTTACCTTCACCAAAGTAATCCAATGTGCAGCAAGAAGTGTTTTCAACAAATAATGCTGGAATAAATAGATATCCACTTGGGAAACCACAACAACATTTATCCATATCATACCATATGCAAAATTCATTTGCAATCGATTATAGATCCAAGTATGAAGCTTTTATAGGGAAACATAAGGTAAGTTGTAGATAGACAAAAATTTCTTAGATGAGCCATAGAAAACAATAACCATAAAATAAAAAAAATAGGTACATTACATGTTAAAATGTAAAACTCAGCACAGTGGCATGTGCCTGTAGTCCCAGCTACTCAGGAGGCTGAGGCAGGAGGACCCCTTTATCTCAGGAGTTCAAGTCAAGCCTGGGCATCATAGCAAGACCACGTTTCTATGATTAATTAAATTTAAAAGTTATGTTTATCTAAAGAAAAGCAGAGTGAGAAGTGATGTCTGGAAATTCCTATTTAAACAAACATTACTACTCTTGTGCATTTAGTTCAAGTTTTTTGCTTGTTTTGTTTTATTGTTTTTGAGACAGCCCCACTCTTATCACCCAGGCTGCAGTGCAGTGATAGAAGCTGACTCTGTGAGCTTAAGCAAAGCACATTGGGAATTTTCATGCAATCCAAAATCAGGGATGCAATGGAACCTTAAGAATAGAAGAACTGGCCGGGCACAGTGGCTCATGCCTGTAATCTCAGCACTTTGGGAGGCTGAGGTGGGCGGATCATGAGGTCTAGGGAGGATCGAGACCAATCCCAGCCAACATGGTGAAACCCGTCTCTACTAAAATAAAAAACTCAGCTGGGCATGGTGGCACACACCTGTAGTCCCAGCTAGTTGGAGGGCGGCAGGAGAACACTTGAACCCGAGAGGCAGAGGTTGCAGTGAGCCGAGATTGCGCCACTGCACTCCAGCCTGGGTGAGAGAGACTCCGTCTCAAAAAAAAAAAAAAAAAAAAAAAGGAATAGAAGAAACTATTGAAGTGCTGTAGACCAGTCCAGTTCTTTCTCTCCATATCTCATCTTTGTCTTCTTCCCCATAGTAGTCCAGCTCCCCGCCTCCTCAGTTCACACAGTGAATCATGGTTTCCAATTGTTCTTGAGCCATCTTCAGTCAATCCACCCTGAAAAAGGACCATCTTCCTGTCTTTCACAATTCTCAGGGAAGAGTCTGATTGGCCTGCTTGGGTCCAGTGACCACCCTTATTCCAATAAACTGTGACCAGAGGCAGGATGATGTTTAAAGAAACATAGCATGTTCTTTCATCTCTTGTAATGTGGAGTGAAAAGAAATTGCATCACAGTTGATGACCACTCTACATTTCCTCTTCATTAGACATGAGACAGAGTTCACAAAAATTTTGCATTTGGTCACAGTTTTTAATGGCAACAATTATTGTTGTGTTGGGTTTTTACTTCTTTGATTATCTAATATCAGCATCTCTTCTCTGCATGTCTACATATTGACTAATACATATTAAGGGCCATAAACAAAGATAGTTCATTGTAGAAATGGGCACATTTATTTATAAATTATTAGCCAAAATCTATTCAAATCCAGACATGATTTGTTCTAGTCTGGATATACAATAAAATTAATTTAAATAATTTTAATCAACTTCAAAAACAGCAAATTCCAAGACAATTAGGATAACTTTAAGAACTCATATTTATTGAGTTAACAGATGGTAAATTAAAAAACAATGAAGCTAATTTTTAAAATCATTCATTGAATTAAAAAATAGACTTATTTAACAAAACTGTTTTTAAGCTGCTTTTTTATCCTAATATGCATGTTTTAAGATTCCAATTTAGGGGACTCTAGAAAGACACAAAGTGAGTTTCAGTAGATGAACTCTCTTCTACTGAATTACTTTTTAAAAGCTTCAGAATCATCTGAAAAGAAAACTATCAACAATAAAAATATAAGAAATAAGACTTTTAGTTATTGGAAAGGATGGAGGGTTTGCTTCTTCAATTCCAGTTTGCTCGCTAACATGATCCTATGGTGTGTTAGTCTGTTTTCACACTGCTGATAAAGACATACCTGAGACTGGGCAATTTACAAAAGAGAGATGTAATTGAACTTACAGTTCCACGTGGCTAGGGAAGCCTCACAATTGTGGTAGAAGGCAATGAAGAGCAAGTCATGTCTTGCATGGATGGCAGCCAGCAAAGAGAGAGAACTTGTGCAGGGGAACTCCTCTTTTTTGTGAGACTTATTCACTATCATGAGAACAGCATGGGAAAGACTTGCCCCAGTGATTCAATTCCCTCCTACCAGGTTCCTCCCACAACATGTGAAAATTTGAGATGAGATTTGGGTGGGGACACAGCCAAACCCTATCATATGGTCTTCTGTGTTGCTGACCTTGAAGTATCTTGAGAGTTTCCTCTGCTAACAGAGTCAAAGTTGCTCCTGGCCAGAATTTTATTTCTGCATTTTAATGGTCAAACATAAAAAACTTCCCCTCTGATGGCTTCTTGAGCCTAGTGCATGGGTGACTTGAAGTATGTTAGCACCAAACAGGTATTTTTTCTTTGATCTTTTCTGTTTTCTCTTTTGTTTTTTAGTTGTAAGTGCCAGAAGCTGACTCTGTGAGCTTACAGGAAAAGGAGAATTTCATGGAAGCACATTGAAAGCATGGGTTCTTTTCCTTTTGGGTTCCCACTTCATGGGGTCTCCTTGCAGCTTTTGGAGGTGGAGCAATTAACATCTCCCAGTACGTGAAGTGTACCAGAAACTGTGGTTGTTTTCAAATGAGAGTTCAATCACTTCTACTTCCTGAGGATTTTATAGATGAAATTGGAGATAGCACCATTGATACATTAGGATACATCATTTGCATTTTACCAGTTATTATTAGTTTTAATATGATGGCATATTTAGAACTAGAATTATCCATGTAGAAATGGAGTTATTCCATAAAAAAATAAAATGGGAATACGTTTATTTGAATGGCTAGTTGCTCAATTACTGTTATAGTTTTTACCATGGGCAGTCACAAACTGATGTAATTTATTTTATGGTCCTGGAAACTTCTTATCTAAGGTCTGATCTTATTTTATGTTGTAGGTATTCCATTACTTGATCAGCAATGTTTAGAATTGTATATACTTGTTTTTGTAGACCAATTCATTAGTTGTAATTTCAGTTAAAAAACATTTAGAGATATAGAAACACACTTACTGTTGAGATTGTAGTAAAATTATTTTATTATTATGCATTTGAAACTCTTTGGCCCCTAGCCCCCTTTCCTCTGGAAATAATTGTTTTTATAATACCAATTTGATAATATGAATGTTCTTAGGAATGTAATTATAACAAGATAGTAGGAGAGACTATATTGTTTTTAATTAAACAAGAACAGATGAAAATAAGAATAGATCGTAACCAAATGAAAAAATGTACTAGATGAAAGTTCTGTTCTGCAGAAATAGAAATCAAAGATATAGAGGAAAAATTTCATAACTAGTCTAAACATCCAAGGAAATGAATAGAGTTAAATGGATAAAAGGTAATTAGATGACCAATTATGGAGCTCTAATTTAGAATGTGGGCTACTTAATGGCAATATACATCTTGTTGTTACCCAACCCCAAAGAGATAGCTTAACATATAGTATTTACTATTATTATTAAATAAACATTCTTTTCTTGAATTTATAGATAAAATAATGAGTGTTTTAAAAATAGAGCAGATGGATCAGAAGTAAAAACTTTAGTTATAATAAAAGAAAACTTTCCATATGTAACAACAACTACACTGGGTTTCTTTTGAGCAAAATTAAGGAATACAAGACTTAAATAAATAAATTTTTAAATTTCTGGGACAAAGAAAATGTCTTAAAGCACATGTGAAGGAAAAACATATATGCTTTTGTAGATTGCCTTCATCTTTCTTATATAGAACAAGAACTTTTTAAAGAACACAGGTAAATGTCCACATAATTTTAAGAGAAACAACTTTGAAGTATACTAGAAAGTCTGGTTGTTTCCTTATGAGAGTTCAATTACTTCTACTTGCTGCCATTTTACAAATGGAATTGGAGATAACACCACTGATGCACTAAGCTACATCATTTTCATTGTACCAGCTAGTATTAGTTTTAACACGATGGTATATTTGGAACTACAGCTATTTATGTAGAAATGGAGTTGTTCCATAAAACGTTTTATGCCTACCCAATTATCAACTTATGCATAAAAGTAACAGAATAACAAAATCTTCCAGGTATCAGAGAATATAACAACCAAAAGTCTTTTCTGCAAAAATTGCAGAGAAATATTGTCCAGATCACTGAGAGGTGAGATGGTATAAAAACTCAAGAATAAGAAATTCCAGTAAAAAAGATTAATACTAAGCATTGAAGGAAAAGACAAAATAAGTGAAATATAGTGAAATCAAAGTGAATTGGGAATTGATGCTGATAGCTAGATATTTTTTACTAAGGGAGCAATGTTTTCAGTGAAATAATCCTGGAGGGTTTTACATTTTTAAATAAAGCATCTATACCTAGTGATCACAATGTGGAAAGAGGAGAGGAAGGAAATAAAAGCATTAGAAGAAGCAGCATTGTTGCTTTATTTTCAAGTCATTAAATATGAATGCATGTAAGTATAGTTGTAGAAAATTTAGTGTCGGCACTAGTTGAATTGAAAGCAGGATATCTATTTTCTAAATAATTATCAAAGATAAAAAGACAAACATAGTCCATTCAAAAGACAAAATGGAAAGACAACAATAACGAACGATTTAAGAGAAGAAAGTTTAAGTTCAATCAAGCTTAAAAATTATGACAAGTATAAATGGCTTAAATTTTCTTATTCAAATGGAAAGATCCTTAGATTAAATTAAAATGAAAGTCTAATGATTTGATGGTGCTTAAAAAAGTCATACTTAAAGAAAAAGGACACAGAAATATTTTTTAATGGCAAAGTTTTTTCCAGCCTAACATGTTCACGTCCAAATCAAAAATACAATGTGAATATCAAACAGGACAGAATTTTTGGCAAAAAAACTCCAAAACAGTAAACATGACAAAAGGGACTATTTTATACTTGTTACTAATGTCATTCTACTGAAGGAATAATAGTGCTGAAAGATTATGCATTAAATAACTTCAAATAAAAAATAATTTGTACATTCTGTTTTAAAAATACAGTATTATTTACCACAACAAAATAATATATATCCAAGCAGTACAAAAGTTTGCAAATTTAGGAGCTACACAACTGAAGTACTTTATGTCAGTAGGTTAAATAAGAAATAAATTATTAATAGGTTTTTTGAAAGCAGAAGAGAAAATTTACTATCTGTTCCTGATAAAATGGTGAAAATAGAAAAAATAAAATATTTTTCAACATAATAAATATTGTATCCTAATTATTTATATCAAAATTAGTTCAGAATACTAAAAATGTACATATTTATAACAAGATGGGATGGAAGTTGCGATAATGATTTTACCTTAATAATATTATTTACTAGTATTTATAAAACTCTGATCAATGTAATAAAACATACCAAAGAAAGAAAAGCTACATAGAATGAAAAAAGAGATACAACATTATGTATTGAAAAAATATTTTTAAAGTGTAAAACTCCAAAGTAGTCAATGAAAACCTAAATAAACAATAATTAGTAAAATATTAAAACATACAAACATTAACATAAGTCAACAGTGTAAATGTCAGCAATCATTAACTTACACATAAACTTTTAAAAGAGATAAAAAACATTCATAGACTGGTTTCAAGTGTGAAGGATAACATTTTTATATTGTTAATTATTTCCCAAGTTTAATGGAAATATAATAACAATCTCCCTTTCATTTTTTACTTTTTGAGGTAGTGGTGAGAGGAATTTGATTTATTATAACTCTAGAAGAAAAAGTAGTCAAGAATAGCGAAGTACAATTTTTGAGAAAGAAGAATAATGAGTGACTATTCTTATCAAATATTAAAATATAAAGTTATAATAATTAAAACCATACTGGCACCAAAATAAATATATTAATGAGGCAAAACATGTGGGCAAACAAATTATATATAAAAATGAAATATTTGGTAATGGCCGGACCACAAATTAAAGGAGAGGGAAAATGTTTTGTAATATATGGACTAACAGTTTGGAAAAAAATCAGCTTTTACACTCATTATATGCATAAAATGCATTACCCAAACTCAAACCTTAGGAAGTCTAATGAGACTTTATTTTATAGGCTTAAAACATTGTAACAAAATTGCTAAGTGAACAGTAAAATAGACTTGATTGTATTAAACACTGGATTATGTTAAAACAACAGTGTAACAAGCAAACAGTCTCCTAGGTGCAATTGCAATTATTTGAACATAATAACAAAGGGTTGATATGATTATTTCACAAGAGCTCATACAAACTCATACCTAATATATGAGATAAGAATGAAATCACATTTCATAAAATATGAAATATAACCCATTTGCAAGCACATAAAAATCCAGCCTTAATAATAATCAAATGAATATACAATAGAATGAAAAAATGTGTTATATTTAGGCTTAATCATTTAAAAATTGATGTCAAGGACTTACACTTTCAGCTGTTACATTTAGATCAGCTCATCCTATAAGGACAAGTAGAACAATAGAAAAGTTGAATAAAATCTACCAAACATTTGTTTAAAAGCACTGGAGAGCTCCACAGTGGAGAGGGCTTGAGAGCAAAGAATTTAAGAGAGATCCTAACTGCCTGTCAGAAATTAAAGTAAAACATCACTTAAAGAAGAGATGATCTTCCAGAGGTCCAAATTATCTCTACAATTTTTCATACACAATGTCTGGCATTCAATAAAATTACCAGGCATACCAGAAGACAAGAAAAAATGACTGAAAACAGAGCTAGAGGAGATCCAGATACAGGAGTAATAAATTTTAAAATATCTATGATATCTTTTAAAAATTGTATAAGGAGATAGAAAATTTCAGCAGATTACTATTAACTGTGATAAAGAATCAAGTGGAAATTCCAGAACTGAAAAATTAACTGAAATTAAAAACTCAATAGGTGGGTATATGAGCAGGTTAGAAATTGTTGAGGAACATACTTATGAGCAGTAGAAAGTTTGATGTTAATACCTAACAAAGTCAGAAAAGGTGTATTGGAAAATGATTTCTGTCATGTAACTGGTGGCATGTAAACCTATATACCACTTTTTGGAAATACTTTGACAATGTGAATTTATTATTTGAACAAAAATTATTTATGTCTTTTAACTCAGTAATCTTATCTCTGGGAATGTGCCATAGGATGTAAGTTTTTAAATGCACATGCCTCATGTATGAAAATAAGTTTTTAAATGCACATGCCTCATGTATGAAGATACTCACTACAGACTTACTTATGATAGTAATAACTATCTACAGACAATGTTTAATACTTTATTTCAATTAATGCAGGTTAATCCTCACAACAATCTTTGGTGCTAGTTAACATTACTATCCTCATTTTACAGATAAGAAAACTGAAACATTGAGAAGTCAAGTAACTTGCTCAAGATTATATAGCTAGTGCATAGAGAGGCAAGGATTTGAACCGGGCTGCGTGGCTCCACATGCACTTTAACCTGCTTTATTTAGGCTTTTGGAAGCAACCTAAATAACTAACATTTGCTAAATAAGTGCAGTATACATGGTCTGAGTGATATTTTGCAGGTATTAAAAAATGAAAATTCTGAACCCTTTTAGCAACATGGCAAATACTTCTGATATGATGTATGCATATAAATATGATCAAAAGGAAATATCCCAAAAGGTTAATGACAGTATGTGAGGTTAGTAGCACAATAGTTTCTTTTCTCATTTTCTCACATTTTTAGTAATGTGTGTTGGTTGCCTATATTAAAAAACAACTACGAAAAAGTAGTAGCGTGTTGGATCAGAACATGGGCTCAGACTGCCTGTGTCATCTCTTATTAGATGTGTGACCAGGGACAAGTTATTGACCTTTTGTTTCTGAGTTTCTAAGTTATCCTGCAAAATGAAGATAATTGTAGTAACTACCTAATAACGTGATTGTAAGGATTAAATTATTTAGAACACTATTTGTTACTTGGAAAATATTCAAGCATAAGCTATTTTGTTGTTATTGTTATTTTACTACCAAAGCTTATTGTTTCAGAGTCCCTCGGTGACCAGGCAAAAAACAGTTCCCTCCAGCTGGTCCTCAGATGGGCACATCTATTAGTAAGTTTCATTTCTGTATGTGGATCTTTATTCATCCTTACTATGAATTCCCCAATACTGAAGTTTCTAGGAACCTACCTGCCATTGGCTGAAGGGTTACTTCTGAATTCTTTCCCAGAGGCAGTGACAAAAATCAAATATCTGATGTATTCTTTAACTTTCAGTAAGCTCAGGTTCCCTGCTTGTGTCACATCTCTAAACATACATACATGCGTGATTGAAACTGTCTATTGAAAGCAATGTTACATTAACATTATCAATACTGAATTAGAGAAAATATCTATCAGTGTCACCAATTCCACCTGTCTCTTGATGTATGACTTTTTACCTGACAGGGTAAATAACAATAGAAAGTTTTTTTAAAAAAAATAGAAGAGTTGTTAGGAAGGGATTTTTCTGAATTAAGTGCCCCAGAGAGACTAGGATGTGCTTTAAAACTTTTTGTTCCACCTGGCAGATCCAAAAAAATTTGGAAGCTTTTGGTTGAACTCTCTCATTACTTGAAGTTGTTTCATTAACATTGAATATATATATCTGTTAGGTTACCAAGGCTTATGGTTAGCTATCTTAATGGCTAGTGATATAAGACCTTTGTAACAAACCCTACCAATGGAACTGGCAGGATTTTACCAGGGAGGATATTGCAGTCCCTGTAAGAGGAAGGATACAAATTGGTATTTCATGCATTTGTGAGAACAATCCCCTTTAATGTGTCTGTTTGGTTTTCATGATATTGCAGGCCTCTGCTCTTGTAAGAAGTTAGCTGCAGAACCCACATGTGAATCCTTGTAGGTGAGTCCACCATTTCACTAATACTGTCTGTGTTTTAATTGCCTCAATTAAGTCCATCTGACATTCATTGGCAAAGTCCTTTGGTTAAACTTCCTAATAATTCTCAGCTCTATCATATGGTAAATGTTTAACACATTGCTTTAATGTTTGAGTTTTTCATTTTTGCTGGAGTTATTATTCCTCTCAGGCTTATTCATGAATGCATTTCTGGATTTATGCCTCCCGCGACCCATTCCAGGATTTACCCCAAACCTTCCACACTGTTTGCTAACAAAAGTTCTGTTATGACACAATAGTACTTATTAAGACAGATTTACCATCTAAGTCTCAGGACAGCATTTCACAACCATAAATAACTGGTTACATGAAGAACCAGAGTCTGGTAGTAGTGAAATTCATTTTCCTTCTTGAAAGAGTGGATCAAAGGATTCAACCAACAAGTGGTGAATCAATAAAAAGCAGTAAAATAGTGAGAAAAAATGTTACCAAAAGACCTCAAGATTACTGATGCATATGAATTGCTTTTTTATATAGGAAAATACTGGATCATTTCTTATTATCATAGTATAATTAGAAGCAATTTCATGTGTTCATTTTGCCACATGAGTTTAATTGGAATTGGATTTGGTTCCCTCTCTAACATGAGTTCAGTGTCTGAACTTCGGCAAATTTCTAAACAATTCTGAGCTTCACTACCTCTGCTTGAAAATGAGAACAATTGTATTTATCTATTATTTGTCTATTAGGTTATGAGAGCAAAAATGTTGTAACATGAAACACCTGGCATCCAGCAAGCAATTAATGCTAGTCCTTCCCACCCCTATTTATGGAGGTAGAAAGAAAAAAGATAACAGACAGCTCTACTTTTATTTTTACATATATCCTTCATTGATTATCTTATGAGTAAATTTTAAAACAGGCAAAATTGTCATCTCTTCATCCTTCATTTCTCAGTGCTTTATCAAATTTCTGCTATGAACTAAGAACTGAGTGCTATCGGAGACACAAAGGAGAGTCAGGTATTGTTCTGTTCTCAAGGACATTAGCATCTAGAAAGGGAGATTTTTTTTAATGCCATTAGAGAGACAAAATAAAGCACTGTCCTAGTTTTAAGCAGGAAAAATCATTTTAACCGGGGTTCCCAGGAAAGGTTTCATGGAATAGGTAGTGTTTGGGCTTTAAAGAATGGGTATAGTTTGGAAAGCAAGGAGAGAGGAAATACAATGAGTCATGACTGAAGCACAGTTGACCCTTGAACAATACAAGTTTGAACTGTGTGGGTCCACGTATAGTGGATTCTTGTCATCCAGAAGTGGATCAAAAATATAGTATTTGCTGGATGCAAAAAGCCATGTATAGCGAGGACCGACTTTTCCTCTATGTGGATTCAGCAGGGTCCACTTGAGTATACCAGGATTTTGGTATGCTGTGGGGTGGCCTGGAACCAATCCCCTGCACATGCCAAGGGGGGGACAACTGTAGTATAATTGAGAGAAAAACCATTGCCCCAGGATTGGAAAGACAGATTGGCATTACCTTGGATGAACCACTTCTCCCCTCTAGCCTTCAGCTTCTTCACTTGTGAGAGATGTAGAATAATCCCTGCCCTGTTGGTATTTCAGGACTGTGGAGAAGATCAAATGGGAGCTTGGATGTGGAAGCTCTTTGGCAACCAAGAAGCACTCTGCAAATGAAAAGGGTATCGTTTTTCCTTTTCTCCCTTGTACCATAAATTTCATGATGGCACTTAACAGAGCCAGTCATTTTGGTATTTAAAAAATGTTTGGTGACATAATTAGTTATTGGTTGAATGAATGAATTTATAAGTGAGTAAATGAATTAAACAAAGGTATGGAGTAGGAAAGCACACAATATGAGCAGAGAATAAGGGGTTCTTTCTGGAAGCATGCACTAGAACTGGATGTTAGGGATGTGAATGTGGCTAGCTGGAATGGGTCTGTGGTTCTCACAAGGTGATCTGTTGACCAGCAGTGTCAATACCAGCGGTTAACTTGTTAGAAATGCAAAATAATTATGAATTTGAAACTCAGGGTGGGACCCAGCAATCTGTTTCTCTCTGGGTCATTCTGATGCATAGCAAAGTTTTGAGAACCATGACTTTGTATTAAAGTGAGGAGTTTGGAAATTATTTTTCTGTAAGTTCAGTGCTAATGAAGATTTTCAACTGTGGGTGGACATAATCACAGCTGTATTTCTAGGATGATAAGGCAGGAGGTTGAACCTACAATATCTATGACTTCAGCATTAAAAGGACAATTAGAAGTACTGGAAAACACACTGTATTTGCCAAGCTCCAGAGATGAAGATTTTGCTTTTTCCTGTTTCCAAATAATATCCCCATACTTACCCAAGAGATAAAGCAGAACAAGCATTGCTTCCAGGCACTGGGGGAACTCACTTGGTCTGCAGAGACCAGGCAGGATGAGAATGTTTATGTGAAAACAAAAGTGAGAGCAGACTGTCAAATATGGCTCCAACCTTTCTGCAGAAGTAAGTAAGCCTTTAGTCCTGACCAACTGTGAGGAAACATTAAATGGAACCTTCCAAACTGGTTTAAAGTAGGCAGCTAAGCCTATGCCAAGGACTAAGCCACCTATGTCGTTAGGGCTGGTGGATACAAATCTGCCAAAGGAGAGCACATTACATGGAGGAAAAATGAAGACCCTCGGAAACATTTATCCTAAAGGGGAAAGAGTCAAGACAGAGATACCATGGTCAGCTGGGAAGGAGATGGAGGGGAGAGGCAGGAGGTGAGCTGTTCAGATTGCTAGCATGACCAATCCAGATGGCTAGGATGACCAGTCATCCTGGTTTGCCCAAGAGTTAGGGAAATCCCACAATGTAGGATTTCCAGGACAATCCTTGTCAAACCAGGACAGTTGATTACCTTAAGACTGCCCTTTCATCTGTGTTCAATACCTGGGGAGAAGGCATAATAAAAATAGAAAAAATCACTGCTCTCAACGTCACTTCTCAAAATATTGTCCAGAAACTAGCAGCATAGGCTTCACCTGGGAGCTTGTTAGAAATGCAGATATTCAGGCATCCTAGACCTACTGAATCAGAATCTGCACATTGACAAGAGCCCTGAGTGATTTGTATGCACATTACAGTTTGTCTTAAAAGATCCTGTGGCATTCCCCGGTAAATAATGGAGCACAAATAGAGAGCAGAAATAATTTCCTCTGGGCTGTAATACGGCTAATATCCAGGTTGATCAGGCACTAAACTAAAACCAGATCAACCTTGCCTGGGAAGGAGGCAACCTAGGAATGGAGAGCAACCCAGGCAGAGAGGGAGAAAGATGGCTGACACAAATTAGCCAAGAGGGTAATTGAACTATTAATTCAACTATTAATAGTAGTAGTATTTGTAGGGAATGTGAGAAAAGCCAGCAAGCCAGCAACTGTATGGTAAGAATAAAGCTAGAGAAATACTCTTCTGTTGCCAGTACTGTGACCCTTCTAGGCTGATGTGGGCTGGGAAATGGGTTATGCTTAGAAATGTGGAGCCTGCCAGATGTGGTGGCTCACACCTGTAATCCTAGTACTTTGGGAGGCTGAGGCGGGTGAATAACCTGAGGTCAGGGGTTCAAGACCAGCCTGACCAACATGGAGAAACCCTGTCTCTACTAAAAATACAAAATTAACCTGGCGGTGGTGCATGCCTGTCATCCCAGCTGCTCGGGAGGCTGAGGCAGGAGAATCGCTTGAACCCGGGAGGCAGAGGTAGCAGTGAGCTGACATCACGCCATTGAACTCTAGCTTGGGCAGCAAGAAAGTGAAACTCATCAGTACCACAAAAAAAAAAAAAAAAAAAAAAGAATAGAGAGAAAGAATGTGGGAGCTGCAACCTAGTAAGCTTGTAATAGTAAGCCTTGTAGAGAAAAAATCCAAAATGATCATCCACTAATAGTGTTCAACCTCTAGATCTTGGCTCATTCACTTGCATGTTCATTCAAATATATGGTGCAAAGAAAGGTTTAGTTGTCTTTCTTTTTTCTGCCCTGGTCTGATCCTCTCATGGATTTTCAGCTCTGCAGTCTAGCAGTGGATAATTGGACCACTTAATTATAGCGTTTCATTTCTCCCTCTACTGAACATATTTCTTCACTTTCAACATTGAAGCCCAGTAGTTCTTAAAATCAAAACAATGCCAAACATGCATAGTACCACCTGAAGGGCTTGTTAAACCAAGATTACTGAGGTCTGCCTCAAAGGTTTCTGATTCAGCATATCTGAGGTGGAGCCCTAGAATTTGCATTTCTGAGTTCCCAGGTGATGCTGACATTTTTAGTCCACAGGCCACACTTTAAGAACCTCCGATTCAAACTATTCAGAATTTATTTCATATCCAAAAGTGATTATTTAAAAATTATTTTAGATTAATGCTTCTCAAACTGATTGATTTTTCCAATCATGTACCAAATACATAATTCTATTACACATGACCAATATTCAGCTTTTGCCACAAGCAACTCACCATGCCAGTTCCACACACCTGAACTGGTTATATCCTATTTAACAAGATCAGTCCACTGATCACATACTAGGATATCATGGCAATGTCAATTTATGATATAAGTTTCTAAATATGAACTTTCATCTGTATTTATATCACCCCCAAACAGGAACAGTTTGTGAACTGGCACTGGCCCTTGGACCACACTTTGAGTGACATTGTTATAGATGACACGGTCTCTTATAGGAAAATGTACAGTCTTTCTTAGATTCTCTACCTTCCTCTTCCATCTCATTCCCAACATAGATCTGGGTACATGAGTGGGGTCTTATTATAATCTTGTGACACCCTGGGATCATGCACTATCCTCTAAATAATCAATAGTTTCTACTATGGAGAGGCTCAGTTTATCTTCTCCCCTGGAATTGGGACCACTGAAATATAACTAGAAGCCAACTGATCTTTTGGGATGTTGTGTGCTTGCTCTCACCGCTACTGCCATAGTTCTGAACGTTTCCCCAAGCATCAAAAAGACCCCACGACCTCTTTTCCCCTAGACCTCTGCCAGTCCACCAACACTGTCAGTGGGGAAGTAAGAAGCCTGGTGGATCCTGCTTCCCACACAAAGGTCATGATGAGACAGATGCATTCTAAGTCCCATATATCTACCCACCTTCTGCTGTCACCTCTGTACCTCCTGAGTCACATGGAATGTTGTGCTGAACCAAATGGTCAGTCTTCTAGAAGCAGTGGAATATTGGAGGCAGCTTATACCTTAGCTGATTCTTAAATTTTCAGGAATTTTGTGAGCCAGGTTTTAAACATGGCCATTGTTGAAAATTAAACAATATAAACTTACAATCAAATATATTATATTAAAAATAAAGAATTAATGTCTCCAACTCATCACTTCCTGTTTATTGTTTTACACGTTACTACTATCTATGCCTATCGTATGTGTATGGTGGAAATACTACATAATGGTATTTAATCGTGTGCCGCCACACAGTTCTTCCCAACTCTGCATTCAGTGACATCACTTTGGTAGCTTGAAATCGGCCATGATAGAAATACTATGTCTTAGAAATTGGCAAATATTACAAATCAGCATTCCACCCTCCCTTACCTCCCCACCCCCCAGCCAGCTATTAAACATTTACCAGCACACAACCACCCAGAGCCTGCATCTGGGAAAGTGAGCCACTAACCCGATGACCTGTGATAACCCTATACATACCTAGCTGTTACTAAGCTGCCGTTCCCATAAGGGTCAGCCCCCAAAAGGTGTGTGTGCAGAGGAGAATAAAAACCGAAACCCTAAGATCATCTTATTTACTTGCCCTGTTTCTGCCTCTTTTCTCTCCCTGCCATCTCTGGGGTCCAGAAGGAGAAGCTTTTTATTTCCTCCGGAGTTTATTCTTATACATCAAGGATAAACATTCATGACCTAACATCACCTCTCTTATTTTCTCCCACCAAAGCTATAAGGATAGTCTAATCATGAAACAACATTAAACAAACTCAAAATGGGGACAGTCTATAAAATACCTAACCAATTCTCTTCAGAACAGTTAAGGTCCTGAAAGGTGAGGAGAGAACAAGAAACAATCACAACTTGGAGGACATTAATGCACTACATTTAATACGGTTTCATAAGTTGGGCTGAAAAGAAAAGGACAGTAGAAAAACTGGGATATGAGAATACAGTCTGAGTATAGTACTAATGTGAAGTTTTTAATCTCCAACTTAATAGCATGGTTATAGAAAATATAAACATTAGGCAAAGTTGGGTGAAGGATATACAGGAATTCTACTATCTATACAACTTTTCTGTAAATATAAAATTATTTCAAAATAAAACTAATCTAAGAAAAAAACATGGCCTGCATAATAGGTAGAATGGATATCTTCTCTAGTCTATGAAAAACCCTGTGTCCTACATTCGCTTGCTTTGTGTTATCGTAAAAGGGGGAAAGGAAGGGATGATAGAAACATTATTTCTCTTAATAAACTTGGATTTTAAAGTCTTTTATCTTTTCACAGCATAAAACATTCCACTTAGGATGTTATAGGTTGAGCATTAACTTTCTCTTTCTCCTTTTCTTTATAGTGTTTCTGTAGTAGTTCAAATCCCCCCCACCCTGAGGGTGGATGTTTCTAGATGATGAAGGAGATCATAAACAGAGAGTAGATTAATATAATTACCTTTATTTCTTG